GGCAATTTGGTTGCAAACGTTTCGTCACCAATCGAGGTGACATCATCAGTGCGTAGTTGTGCGTAGCGGTGGGTTAGTGGTTGTGCTCAAAATACCGTGATCAGAGCGGGATGGCTCAGTAGTTAGAGCGCGAATTTACTGACCGGAAGGTCCGTGGTTCAGATCCGACCTCTGTCTCTCGACTTCCCCTGTCTACGCTTGGGTAACCTGGCAGTATCCCAGCCCTCGTGCTTCCTTCCGGTGGCAAGGTAGCTAGGCACCGAAATGGTGATACAGCTGAACGAGTATTATTATTATGGACAAATGGAGCACGCCCGTGAACATCGAACGTTTTGGCATTACGTACGAACGTAATCAAATTGGACCTTTAGCCATGTGGTGAAATTCGCAATCCTGGTTGAGGCTAAAAAATTCAGTACGGTGAGCCATTTTCAAGCTGTGTATCAAGGGAGTTTTGCAGGTGGGTGACTTTGTTCACTACTCATTTAACTGCAAATAGGGTGACTGAAATATGCTGGAACAGTGGATGTAGTGAATTCCGCATTTTTAAAACCGGAGTATTTGGTGTAGCGTGTAAGTCTGAAAAGACGATTTGTAACTGCTTAGATGGGGTTTGCTTACCAGGTTTAAGCAGCTCGTCATTTTGTGGAGTATATCTGTCGAACAGGAACGAGGTTTCATGTATGCCACGTCCTCTCTCCTGTTAGGACGGCGGCAGCATCGCCAACACGAAGCAAACCACAGTTGTCTAATTGGATTGTAGCAGCCTTTTCGAGGCATTACAATTCTCGGGCGTGAGTGCTTTTCGGGATCTTTTTTGTAGGGAAAAAACTACCGGAGGTCANGTCACCGCAAAGCTTTTTTGCGTTTTCGGCCCAGGACTAGCGACTTAACGGGGACAACGTTTCTTGTTACTTTTAACACGCCTTAAAATAGCATAGTTCTGGCGACGTCTCCACATCGTGACTGGATTTCATCTCTCCAGGCGCCGTAACTGCTGGTACGGCCGAGTACCAGTACTTTGAAAACGGTGCGGTCGAGTAGAGCTCAGCTAAAGTGGAGCATGAGACCATCCGTTGTTTGTAAAAATCATTTACCAGCTTAGAGAACGCGAGCGACTCGAAGGCCACGTCGGCGTTAGACTACGGTTTCTCGGCGAATTTGTAAAGTACAGGAATAAAAAAAATTGATGAGAAGCGATTTTCGTTTCAGAAGAGCTTGGTAAACAATCGAAAGTTTTTTATTTGGGCAACGTTTCGCTTTCGACACAAAAGCTTCATCGTGCCAAGTGAACAGATCACCAAATTGGCCAGGTTATAGGACAGACGGGGAACCAACCAGTAAGTCCTCTTCATACTAGATCAGCGTTGAGTGTCAATTAACGACTCTTGTTGGCTAGTGTGGGTGCCAAAATCTTGAATTGATGGGTTGGAGGAGTTCCAAGTTAGTTCCGGTCGCTTTTCGTTCCTTAATCTTCCATTTTAGGGTGCTTCAGTTGGTGATTCAATTGATTGAAAAGGAGCGATTTTATTGGCTAAACAACTAATCGCGCTTATTAACCATGTTAACACCACACCACAGGTAGGTTGGTTACTCCCTACGTATCTGTGGAGGCAGCTTGACGCACCGGTTGTGCTTTTCACCACTAACGTGATCGGGGCCGGATAAAACTGCCAAGCGTCCTGCATTTGTAAGGGAAGCGACAGAGGGATCCGAGGAAGCAATCATATTGTGATGAAATTCAGGGCAAATCCAACGACTTCAAACGAAAACTGACAAACGTGGATAGCCCACTGGTTCTGATTTTGTCGGTTTATCTCGGAAGGTCTAGGTAATTATGATCGTAAGGACCCGAGCAGACTCTGTACAGCTTGTTTGTATGGGGTGTCCCCATTTGTAAGCTTGGAAATGCTGCTTGAGGAGGGTAGATTGAATTCAAGCTGACTTAGTTGCGTACATACTAAAAGTCACGATGCACGAATCCCCGTGCAATATTTTTCTATGGGCCAGGTTTAGTGACAATCAGAACTCGACTCTAAATATCAAGTATCCGGCGCGTTTACGGGATACTTTCACCGACTTTGCCAAAAGAACCACCATCAACCAGAAATCCTTCAACTCGGTGGTTTAGAACAATACCAGCTCCAACGAAACCAACCGCAGCAGTTTCACAATCACCAGTGTTGCATAACCAGAATTCGGAGGAAGGGGGCGAGGAGGTGAGTTCAGCAAATGTACTTAGTCTTAAATCCACATTTTAAAGAGGCAACATGCATCAATGGGAGTCTAGCATACATGTAAGAGCAGTCTGTTGTCCGGCTTGTTTCAGAGTGCAAAATCGGGTCTGCCGGATAAACCGAACGTCAGTGTTTGAAGAATGATTCCGCAGTGTCTGCGGTCGTGGTGGTCTAATTAACCATGGATATTGGAGCTGACAACAGTGTACAGTGAACAAATCTGTCGGTCTTCTAGAATGGGCCTACAAAGTTGTTGCTGGCAGCCAAACAAAGTGAGGAGGAGAAGAATAAATATGTGATAAGGAGGCGTCTATTACCGCTCACCCGCCCTGGTGTGTACAGGATGGCCTAAACTGTAGCAGCTGGAACCAGTTACCCGTCACGGTTTATAGCTGATAAATTTCATTGAAAATTGAAGTGAACTTTTTGCAGCAGGCAAGGAAACTCGGCTGACGCGGCAGGAGATTAAATGTAGGTATTCTCTTCATGGTTGCACATGAAGGATGCTCAGATGTTGACAGCAGGATGACTAGTCCTCAAACAAACCCTTTGGCTCAAAACTAAACCGCTATGTTGACGTAAGACCGTCAAAATGGCCTACATTTTTAACGAGCAAGTGTCCACATATGTCCCATACCCAACCTGAAGAACCTGGAGCGTGTTTGACCTCTACCCATTGGCCGACTTGGTGTACGCGTCGCGTACACTCAGTATACCTCAACGGGTTACGAAGATGGAATAGCCGCTATACCAGGCATCCGCTTACGCCCCAACGGACTATATCTGGTACACTGAAAGATAGTTTTTACGACGCTTTGAGCACATTGTTTTTGCGGGCTAAGAGCTCAGATATCGTTGTGGTTGCCGGACGTGTGAACACGCAAGTAAGTCAACCTAGTGTTGCTGAGGCTCTGTTTGGTGGTCGCCTTGGGCGCGACTCAAGACGCATAGACAACAGTAAACGGCCGCTGTAATTATGTACTGGCTACATACTGTTTTGTGCAGTAATGACTCTAGAAGTAACTGAAGCCACATAATAACCCCCCAAAGCGTGCTAACCTCCAACACGTAGAGCACACTGCCATTAACTGCAGGTGGCCACTTACTGATTGTCAGTCGCCCTGGAACACCTGTGTGGATTCGGGTTGCGCACTTGTTCGTTCTGCCCCTCGTTGCGCTTTCCAGGAGAGCGCAAGATGCACATTCCTCGGTCGACCATTGATAGGATCTTAGACCCCAATGTGAAACAAGCCTACCAGCACCACCTAATATAGTGCACTTCGGCCAAGACGTCTTTCGATGTTGATTCTGGCTGGAAGGTACTGTCCGCACCCATGCAAGATGGTGAGGTTTGGCACATTTATAAAAAAGGACAATTCTTGAATTACTGGGCTGAATACTTTCAACATCAATTCAACTGGCTATCGGCGGTTGATTGACCGGATTCCCCATCCGAAGCAACGAGCTCTGGACATTGAAGCTGGGAACAAACGATTGCCATTTCTCCCTCAAGCGTCACCGAGCTAATGGGCTTGAAAAGCTCCCACCCCTATGACTGCGAGAATTGGCCGATTCGGGGGAAGGATCCGAGCTATCTCTGTGACTGCCGATGTCTTAGAACTATCGCCGGGGTCGGCTGGATCCATCGAATTCGCAGCGAGGATGTCAGATGACGGATTTTTGGTGATCCATAGGGTACTACACTCAAATAATGCATGTCAAGTTACCCTACCAAATTCGGAGTTGCGAAAACCAGTAGGTGAACGGAGTTTAACATGAGAGAAGGGAATAAAGGATGCAACGAAAGTTTGAGTGATTTTGGTTCTGTTTTTCTTCTAGGATGAGATCCCTCCGTGTGCTTGACTAGAGACGCTGATTAATATGGCGCATAACGGACTTCATTGCCACTCATTCTGTCAGTTTGCATCCAAATTTCCCGGCTGATTTTTGGAGATATACACACCGGATGTTATAGGTTAACCCTAGGTCCCCTCTTTGCCCTCTTTCCCCTCTTTGCTCTGATCAAATAGATTGAAATGACTGTATGTTAGTGATGCATCAGTGTTCTCATCTGGTGTGGCTGTTAATAATAATAACCAGACATCCGAAAGATGGGTACATTGGGCGAGATAGCTCAGTGATTAGAACGCGGATTTACTGACCGGTAGGTATGTGGTTCGACCCGGACCTCTGCCTTTCGACTTCCCCTACCTAGGCTTGGGCAACCTGGCAATATCCCAGCCATCGTGCTTCCTTCTGGCGGCATGGCTGTTAGGCACTGAGAGGGTTGTACAGCTAAACGAATAGGAATACCAGTTTGATCTAATAGCCTCATCGACATTCTAAACGTATGTTAACGTACTTTATGCTAAGAGCGGTCATTCAGACTGGCGTTATGAACTTCGTGCCAAGGCTCGACCGACAGCGATGCGGATTTTGGCCATTGACACCTGAAGCCATTTGCTTTTGGGCTATCGGAGTGTGCCGTTTTTAGGACCGGTCTTCTCTAACGTTTCTTGCCGGAAGGCAGCTTACAGGATAACGAATGGGCTGGTCGCCTGGGGGAAATACCTTGCTGTCTTCACAATTCCGTCGCCAAGAACACTGCTGCCGTGCATCCGGATCACCTCATATCAAGGATGATCGCCGCTCTTCGTGTGACTGCTGCTTTTTAGCCTTCCTGGCATGGTTGCGCCTTGTGAAGGAGTTCCGGCCAATACAGTCCGCGGGATCATCGTAGCCGCCACATATTAACAGCTTTAGTTCGGGTCCGAGGATTGACGTATCTTGCCACAGAGTCCTGGTTAGCTCAGGAGTTAAGTCGCGAACTTACTGACCGAAAGGTCCCTTGTTCGAACTCAACCTATGCACCTCGACTGCTCTTGTCTAGGATTGGGGATGCTGGCAGTATTTCAGCCTTTGGGCATGGTTTGGGTGAAATACCATCCGTGCTCCAAAAGAGTATTACAGCCGAACCGTTTTTTGACACGGAGCTGATTGTGCGCGAGAAACGATACTCCAGGCACTCACTGGTCCACCATTGAGAATCTGGCGCTTGGTGTGTATTTTATTTTGATATGTTGAGTACTAATTGCAAATCCCGACCCACTTTTGTGTTTGATATATACGCTTGCTTTGCTCACTGGCCCTTGAGATCTTCTGTCCCTCTCCCTGCGCACTTGCCTGCTTTGCCTATTTGAAGACATTTTGGCTCACTTTATCCTGTATGCTCATTTCAACCGAATGGTTTGTGTATTCACCGTCGGAGTTTGGATATATTACGGATTTTTTATGTTCCACTTCAATAACACCTTACAAAAACCACGGCTTTACATTTGTTGTGCCCAACCGGGTGTTCTTGTGTTGAGCTTTACTCCACGTTGATTTTCCGCCTGCTACGAGCACCATATCAGCAAATGCTTGCAAGGAGCCTCCATTCTTTGTGTCCATCTTCAAAAACTTTGGTGAAACTGCGGTTTTAGTTCAGTGTACCAGTGCGAAACTAGTCAAAACGTTAAAAGAATAAGGTGGACATCGATTATTTTTTTAAAAAAGTGCTAAGAGACTTGGAATACTAAGTGCAATTTAAGAAGCTTGCTCAAATTCCTCACCGATAAGATAGCTGATACGATACTTTTCAAGCTGACTCAGAGTGAACCAATTCGGTACCATGCCCTACTTTGAAATGTTGGTGGAGCTACTTCTGATACGTAGTCACGGCCTAGTGCACTCTCCTCACCGTTGTATCTCGACGTATGTCATTCTAAATAGTCCTAGCTGAGGTCGTTTTCACCTTTTCTACTCAGCTTGGATATTTCCTCTGTTTTTTTTCTGTCTGCCATCGGCAGACTGGATGAGGAATTGTTTGTAGCCTATTTGTTTTGCGGCAGATTTTATCGCTACCGCTGGATGGAATTTCGGTTTGTATCTGTATTGGATTATGCTCGAAGCGTAGTTGAGCAAGTTTTTCTTTATTTCAGAGTTCTCCATCCTCTCATTGATTTGATGTCCCTTGTTTGTCGGCGTGAGCGCTCTTCTCCTTCGGACTTGAGTAGGTTCTCGATCACTCGTTGAGATTTGCGTGCTTGTTCAGAAAGAACGTTCGTGAATAGTTTGAAGAAAAGTTGTGAAGCCCACTGCACCTACTTCCCGCTACTTTTAGCTACTTGTGAAGTTGAAAAGATCGCGGAACGTTTTTGTGTTTTTGGACAACGACAGTAGGTCCAATATGATCGTTGACGAGGCACACCATTCCTAGATGCAAGTCATATCACTGTGACAGTGATGAGGGTGTACCTCATCGTAATGTAGTTAGACGTTTTTTCTTATGCAGCACTATAGGTTTACCATCTAGTCGTTTCTGAACTGAATACTGCGTTTTCCGTTACCGATTATGGCTGCGCGAAAAACCGTGCTATTTTTCTACGATATATCCTTTTTATGTTTGTATGACTCTTCGAATCGTGTTCTTTATCGTTTAGTGCTTTTGCTGCCTTGTAAGAGTCGATGCGAAGCTTCTGCTTTCGTTCTTCACATCCGGTACTTTCGAGCAGAGGGGGCCGAAAAAGTCTTCTACCTCTGGCGCCGTTTGTGAGATGACAGTGCCACGATACCTGACTTTAAAACTTGCGAAATCGGTGTCCGTTCACAGACGTCGTCTACACTAACAATACAGTTAGTTGTTCTGGGCTTTACTCTCCTTGTAACCAACTTAACTTGATCTGAAGTGCGCTCCTGGATGTGAAGCATTACTGCAAATGAAGGACAACTGCAAACGAATTCCTACCTCATTTTTCTCAGACCAGTGAAATGATGTTACCGAAATACTCAGCTACCTGGAAAGTTCTGTTTTTCCTCTTTGTCTTACATAATTGTACTCCTAATCGTGGCTTAAGCGGACTTGGCCCAACATTTGTGTTGGCTGTTCCGTACAAGGCGAGCTCACTCTAGTTGAGGAATACTACCGGCTTGGATAGAGGAAAGATCTGATTCACGTCAAACGTCTTCGGCGGAGATGTTTGCCGATGTTTTCATGTCCTGTCTTCTAAGGAACGAAGATTGGTATTTCCTCAACATGAGCGAAATCCTTTTGTTTGTTCTGCACTGCAAAACGGATATTTTCTGACTTCTTGAGAACTCCATTGAACTTTTGTGTCCAACAGTCTGACAACTGATGCGAAGGCTATCCTTTCGATAACGGCGTTTTTGGTCGTAGAAACCAATCTCGTCATTGTCTCACCGATCATGAATATCAAATATATCGTCAGTATATCAACATTAAATCAAATATCATTCTGTCTTTGCCAATAGCATAGAAACCGTGGCTGTGTAAAAAGTGCGATTTCCTATTCCACCCGAATTAACCCGATATACGGGAACCCTTCCTAGGTGGACGAAGAAATGTCCGTTACAGCAACGGGAAAGCTTTCGACCCATAAGCCGGTTGAACAAATTGTCCCACCCTCAGATTCGCAACCAAACTGTTCAATTCAGCGAATAAACGAACTTCAATGCCGTTATTTTTTTCATTCAAACCTGAGTATGCACTTTGGATGATATCTTGCTACTCATTCATTTCTATACATTCACATCGTTTTGAGAGTAGGACTGCTGTTACCTTGACGACTCTACTACTCCACATCTGAAGCATTTTATTGGGATGCAGTTCGGTTCGAAGTTGAATACAGGATCTATTTGTCGTGAATTTCGGGTATGCTCACAGTCACTTGTCAATTGGTTGTGAACTGTAATTCCAGTAGCAGTTTGATAATATTGATTTTCTCCATTTTGATTCACTTTTTCGAAATGATCAACGAAATCCGTGAACTCGGTGTTTTGAAAACCCGTGTTGAAACGGATAGCAAATTTCGTTAAACTACTGAAGCAACGTCCTAGTAGCTTCGTTAGGTAAAATACAGTCCAGGTTGTTGAACAGCACAGAGTTGCACTTTTATCAAGGCATGTCAGTCAAGGATACGCAAAAGTAGTGGATATCTAGCGCCTCTGATCTAAAATGCCCTGGCACACACGCATAAGTGTTGTTTATTGCACTTATACTTGAGAGGAGTGGATACTGCACACAAAGAGGTTCGTATATGAAGTGTTAATGTCATGCTTACTACTACTGATTGAAGTGGAATCAAAATTTCCCAGCCGTTGACATCCTGTATTGCAAAACTAACACAAATTAAGACACAGAACCGCGGCGCAAATCAATAGAAATAGTAAGCCAATCATGTGAAGGACACGAACAAACAAAATATATGTATTTACTGACTGACTGAGGACCGATGCGATTCAAGACCCGTGCACGACATGATGTGCGTTTGAGCACAAGCTGGGAAAATAATGCACGCCGGCGGTTTTACATAATTCCTTCTAACACTATCAACCTCAAGCTGTGGGAAATTCGTTTACCTTGTTGCACAAGCCTGAGAACATCATAAACGAGAGATTTAGCTGGGTTCCAGGTAAGTCTCTCGAAAGAAGCAAATTAGTTTGCAAATGAGTGTATATTCGCTAAAGTCTTAAAAACTTCAGGTGCAGCTCCAAGAAGCGGCATATCACGTACCCTGACAAAATTCATAAATATTTTGGCGTGACGTAAAACGGGTGCGGGCACCGTGTATGTTGCGAACGCCTGATAGTAGCGCTGTCTAGTTCATACAAACCTAACTGAACTGAGAAAACGGTAGAATCCAACCAACGGTTGAATGGAGTTTGGTGAACGATAGTACGGTAATGAGATGAATTACAAATCCGTTAGAGGTGCAACGTCTTGGAAAATCAACTGATACAAGCACCAGCTGTTTTAACGATGCATATTGACAGCTTAGGTAGCGGACTTCGCATAGGTTGAATGCGAGTGCCTATGTGTTATCGACGTTGGACCAAGTGGTTAAAGCGCAAACTTATCGACCGTGGTTCGAACCCCACCTCTGCATCTCGACTTCCCCTGTCTAGGCTTGGGCGACCTGACAGTATCTCAGCCCTCCTGCTTCTTCCTTCGTGTGGCACGGCAGCTAGGCACCGAAAGGGTGCTACAGCTGAAAGATTTTTCTGTTATTGACGTTCGCAGTTGAAGGTGAATGACAGCTAATGGTAGCTGCTCTATCAATCGTGGTGTTATTCGGGTACGAATACTGCACGATTTCACAAGAGATGCAAGGGGTAATGGCTCTTGCGGAGAAGGAGGTAGCTTATTTTTGAAAGGAATGGCTTACTGAATCATGACCTCCACTTTAAGATGCGCTGGCTTGTGGATAGAAAACCAAATTACCGCCTCAAGTGTAAAGTGTCCGGTTTTTAGTGTTCTAACAAGAACTTACTCAGACCGCCTGCATGCTGATTTTCTGCATTCTACTCTTATGGACTTAAGATTGAATTTGAATAACTTCATAGGTCTCTCCTGCCAATCAATATCTGAATTTCTTATTTTCACACTGTTTTCGGATCCAAACTGAGTTCCCGGTACCATACTTCGTAGAATGCTTTCTGCTAACCCGTTGAACTACGGCTAGCCGTAATAGTGCCTTGTATCCCCTACGTATCGAGTTACCCGAGGTTGAATATACATTGTCATGATTTCACTAAGTTGTTTTGATTGGCTTATGGGCTCAGTCTTTGCACTCGTTCGTGGTTCCATTGCACTGCACAAACATTTGCCATGTTGCCTTGTGTTGACTTGCCCTGGGGTTGGCGCGCTCTTATTTGGTTGTAGTGTTTCTAAGTACAATCAATGTTTGTTGTTCGATCCTAGGTGCCCGAAGGAATGGACTCAACGTGGCTAGTTTTCAGCCACGGTTTCGTCTACAGCTTACTATGCGGAGCCGTTTTATCGATTTTGAAAGTAAGTCCGGCTGAGTGGATTGTTGCGGCTATCATGCTCAATATACGGTGCACAGGGATGAAATTGTGACGAGCCAGGCGGTTGTTCAATTCAGTCGACACAATGTTCTTTCTAATGTCATCCGGATTAACCCTGTCATATGATCGTCGTTGTTGATTGGGTTAAAGCTCCTTCATTTCTCTCGGTTCGTGGGATCCTTTTGTATGGTATGCGCAAAACCGCTCGCGCTATGGTGTGTATTCTTTGGATTTCACTGTCCTGCCGCGCTCACTATCACTCACCATCCCCGTTCACCCTGGATGGAGTGAAACAAAATTCTCCGTTCCGATCGATCGAATAGATGGACGGTCTGTGAATAAAACTAAAAAACTTCCTGTATAACTTTTGGGAAAAGTGGAGTATCACTCAGATTAGCGGAGACGTCTCCTATTCTTCATAGGTTCCCTCTCAAGGGAGGTTTCCAGTGACAGTAATACACCAACAATACGAGGGGGCATGTAAAGATCATTTTTGGCTATTTCCTTGGTCGGGTCTCAACAAGGAGAGACAAGAACCTCCTGTCGATTTCAATGCACGCATGGTATTGGCTCTTTGATCTTAGTATTCATGCTGACGTCTCTTCCATACTGCATCACACTGAGCAATCCACTTTCTTTATTTCAGAAGAACTTCCGCTGGTGTGAACTGAAAAGTCGAGTCCCCACGGTGAGCTATTTCACTCTGGCCAGCTGGAAGAAAATTTCGTTCAATTATTTATCGAGTAGGTTGTTCGGTCGAAAACTGAAATTGATTTGTCCATAAGCAAGTCAGCAGGGTGTGGATTAATGTACCCCAAATCGAAGCACTTCCTGTATACACTGGCTATTTTCCATACAGTAATCATCCAGCAAGAACTACCGAGGACAGAGTGAACGGTGGTTATTGTTTATGGGTGTCCTTTGTGAGGGGAGAGGAGAAATATGGATTTCCTCATGAACTGCGCAGTCTATTTTCTTGATCTGTCCTGTTGTTCTGTTGGTTGTAGTTTGGTCACTTATTCTGCCCTCGGCAATGTTGATGTTTTGTCTCACTTACCCACACATGCTATAGAATTATGATGACAGGCGCTCCAGAGGGACGTAATCTCTCAATGAGACCATTGTTCTCACCCCATAGAATATCCTCGGAGGACGCTACGCGAAAGAATGCTTAGTTTCTAGTTTTCCCACTATCTCAGTCGTAATAGCCTGTATTTTGGGAGCTAAGGGTGTCTTGAAAATTCTTTACCGTGATGAGTGAACCACTGCAACTTGGTGGACTTTATCCAAAGTACATGCCTGTTGTCAGATTCTTTGGATTTCGACCTAAAGGACACTATGAGCCCGAAATGGTTTAGTGGTTAAAGCGCGGATTTACCAACCGAAAGTTTTCTGGTTTGAACCCAACCTCTGTATTTCCACGGCAGTTTTCTAGATTTGGACAGCATCTCAGCCCCTTGAGTGGCATGGCAGCTGGGTACCGGAAGGGTGTTGCAGCTAGACGAAACCATAAACAGTTATTGCTGTCATTCTCATGCCTTACTGGAAGAATCTTACCGTAACCCTTATGATCCACCCGGTGTGTATCTGTCGATTATGTACGACCGCCAATGAACAAGAAAGTCGCGTCTATTCCCTGTTTTAGGGTCCCAAATGTGAACTAGGAAAACTAGTTTTAGGTGAAAATAGTCGACGGTGTCGCTGGTACTCACAATCAAGATGGAGTCACTACTTGTTCCCTATCCGAGGGAGCCCAGAACCTAACCACCAGTGCAACTATCGCACGGTGCTCAATGACGTCGTAAGCTAAGTGAAAACTCACTGTAAAGTGGTGAAGATGCCTGCTTTTGGTCAATTAATCCAGTGCACCCATCATAATGTTGATAGAGTCAGCAGAACTGCAATTCTGTGATCAGAATGAACCAAACAGATGTTCCTTTCTGAACAGCAATTGGAAAACCGAACAAGCGAGGTTTCAAGTTCATGAGCCTCTTGAGACGAAGGAATGGAGTCTCCTGAGCGTGGGGAACAGTTGCATTTCTGAAGGAGTATATTCGGGCCAAGCAGAGACACGCAGGCAAAGTGCTGGATAAACCTTAACCATTTCCAGCTCATATGTATGATTTAGTAACTTATTGGTGCTCTTCCATATAATCCGCAACATGCTGGCCGTCTCAACAAGTTGAAACTGGTTGTACGCTGTCTAGGCAGTCGTCCTATTCTACTCATATCAAGCTGGAATCATGTCTAACGAGAATCTATTTTCTGTACTGGCTATCGACGTTCTCTCTTATTTGCTAATGTCAACTCACCTGCCTGTTAAACTTGGTGATAAATATCTTTCCCTGCAACAATATCCTCAAGCTTGATGCATTTGTGAGCCGTACTAAACTTTTCTTATTGAAGTTTTTCATGATCCATTTTCTACCAGCACTTGGAAATTGTTTGCCTTTTTCGTTCTCTCAATTCCCATTCTAGCCCTGAAACTGACAACTCTTAGTCCAGTTGTTGGAGACGCTTCCTTTCCTTCAGCAGTATTCTCGCACCCTGGTCTCGCAAATCAGAATTGCCGCGTTGTTCCTAGCATCGTTCGGCTTGTTCGAAAATCCGACCGCAGGACGTTCCGGTTGGTCGTGAACCGTTCAATTCGCAAATCGGGTCGGCCACCTCAGCAGTCCCATCCGGATGGTCTCCCGGTGTCGATCGCTCCGAAAAATTTGAGTGTAAATGACCGTTTGCGCTGTCCGAATGGTCTCGTGGCGTTTTTCTCCAGACTAAAGCATGAGGTATGCCCTGATGATCTCCATTTCTAGTTACCTGGAAATTTCCAAGTGAGCTGTAAGATTTTCACCGATTATTGATTTTTTTTGTGCTCCAATGCTATCTAAAAAGTAAACTTATCAAATATTTTTCCAAATATCATATATCGTCCTGATAACAATGATTACAATTTCCTCGGGGGGTTTCTGACCAAGTTTAGCATGCCCTCATTTCTCGCTCCAACGCGTTCCGAGAATCCAAGGAAAGTGCACTTGATTATCTGTCTACTTTTGTATTTATTATATTGCTGGCTTACTTCCAGCTATATAGTGCGTGAAATTAAATCAAGTCAAGTTTTTTTTCCAAAAACCTAGCTAGTATTGAGTGTAAGCGTAATTTTTAAACAAGCGTAAAAAACCGTGATCTTATGTCACACGGAGCATCGAGTAACCCTGATTTACACACGGTGAAAGTATTATGGAGAGTCTATGATAAAATACATTACCGTTTTTTGTAATGCACTACTCACAAGGTTGCTGAAAACTCTTCGACAGCCCACGAACGGCTTCGCCCTCCTCGGGGCTTATCAGGCAGGTGCAGTCCCCGAGTTTCCGTTTACCTTATGTTCTACCGTTTTCTTCTGGCTACAGAAGAAACAGTCGACGCACATGGAATTCGTAATTCCTTTTTTCCTTTGACGATCTGGAAGTCCTGATTTTCTGATCTCTACTAGGGAGTAATGCGCAGTTTAGTACAACAACTCAACCCTTGAGCATCGATTTTGATTCCGCTGCCCATCATGCTGTGAGTGCGGTCAGTCCGTTCTGAAGAGCCAAGAAAATTTGCACAGTTGTCCCAACCTTCTTAAACATTATCTCCTAGAGAGTTTTGGACTCGCAACCTGTCGATTAATAGCCGGACACGAGTGGTTGATCACTACTGTGATTAAGGTGCAGAATAGAGACCTACTAAGCCTTCCGTTATGCAGCTCACGTCATGTGATTAGTTTTTAACTAGCTCTTCTAGTGGTAGCTTCTCAGATGCAATGCAAATATTACCTCTGGGAATTTCTTTCGAGCAGTTTGTTTTCAGTGTGCCTTTGACACAGGCTTTCTTACGGTGTCAGCTGTGTCTAATCGAATGTGTAAGTTCCTTAAGATTAGCATCTCGTTCAGTCAATTGGTTTACGAGTATACAGCATTGCCCTCAAAATCGTGGCCAGACTATTCGCTCCCTAGGGTCTATGTCCTCGAAGACCTGTCAATAAGAGACGTCAATGCCCGTAGTAGATAAGGTAACTCACTCACACTTTCGAACCCTTACCAGTATTCTCCGTAAGCGTTTAGGTACATTTCATAATGGAAACTACTCACAATGTTTCTGAAGACTCTTCGACAGCCCACGGTCGGTTTCGCTCTTCGGGTTCATCAGGTAGGCGCAGTCCCCAAGTTTCCGTCAACCTCACGCTCTACTTGAACTCATATTGGATAGATCTCGACAAATACACATATAACTGAAGTGTCATAAACGAGAGCTCCAGTTGAGTCTTTTGTGGAAGCCAAGTTGATATACAACTGAGTGTATTTGTAGAAAACACTACTGCTCATTAATTTTCGTTCCTCAGTGATGTACGATTTCCGGGGTTTGTAACAAACCTCCTTTATCTACTCATGAGGTTGCTAAAGGCTCTCCGACAGCCCACGACTGCACTCACCTTTCTTTGGGCTCATCAGATGGGTTCATCATAAAGAAGAGATTCCGGTGGATTTAGTTGGGTCTCTTTTAAACCGAGTTAATGTGTAAATGAAGACATTTGGGAATATTCAGCCATGTATATATCTTTGTAATGTACTACTCATAAGTTCCGGTGGAGTTGGGTCTCTTTTAAACCGAGTTAATGTGTAAATGAAGACATTTGGGAATATTCAGCCATGTATATATCTTTGTAATGTATGTACCATAAGGTTGCTGAGAATCCGTCGACATCCCACAACCGGTTTCGCCCTTTCTGAGGCTCATCAGGTAGGCGCAGTCTCCAGGTTTCCGTCAACCTTATGTTCTACTTGAAACCAAATTGCACGAAATTAGCGAATACACGCTCATTTGCAA